TGCTGAAGTTCACCAAGCTCACATTGACATCCATGAGAGCAGAATTTTAATTCCACGGTGCATAATTCAGAGTATACCTTACGTGACTGTAGGTGGTCTGAGCAGCCAGACTTCATGCTCTGTGAGATTAATGTACACTGGAATCACATGCTAGTTATAGGCAGCAGAACAACTTGGCAAGCCACTTCTGTGGCAGGAAGGTCATGTAGGTAACAGAGCACCCAGAGCGTGATAGAAGATCTGTTGAGTTATGACAGATAAAGATAATGGGCCAACATAACCAGATTGTAGCCAGGCCTCCCCCAGTCCACTATTCTAAGAGACAAGGGGCTAGGGTTGTTCAAAAAAGTCTTCATTCTAAGGGCTGGCATTGCGTTGCATTCTAGACCCTGACTTTTTTTTTGTTTAAAATAATCATGATTTTTGCACTTTGGCACTGCTGGGCCATTTTCCCTTAAGTGTGAATGGAATGATAAATGTTGGAATCATGAATGTTTTCTGCCAACCCCACAAAAGCAGTAAAGGCATTGTCTCTAATGACTTCTATAACACCCTTACATAGCCCCTTTCCTCTGATATGTACAAGTAAAGCAATATGCACACTGAAATACATATTTTAATTGAGAGTTGGGAAAAGGAACATTTGGATGCATGGGCTTTCTTTTCAGTAATCTGTTTAATGTACTGTAATAAATATTGGCCTCGTTTTTGATCAGGATTGACTTGTAACATTCTTTGAGTTAAGCTCTGGTATCTTCCTGCCTAATGTAATTTACTTAGGCTTAAATGTATGAATATAAGCTTGAAAAGTTTTAAGATGCCATTCTGAACAAGAGTGGTACTGGGACTTTCCAAATGTGCAAAATAGCCACTGAGAGTTATTCTGATAAGTCAAATGACTGTATCTTGCTTTTCTTCTCCCAGTGCCTAATTCCACTTGTAATGGCTTTGACAGTGCTGTCTCAAAGGCTTATAGAACTCCACCAGGAAAACAAGTTTGTTTTGTTGCTACTGTTCGACTGGCAACACCTCAGTTTTTAAAGGTAAGCACCTGTGCAGGTGGACATGAGTCTTATATGCTCTATATGCTTTCAATCTCTGTACAAGTAAGATTTCAAGTTTTATTCATAGAGTGGATCAGAATGTAGGAAGTTTACATTTAATATGTCAACATCTAATACAATACGTAGGATTATCAGTCTGTCCCATGTTTCATGAAGATGATGTCCCTTGCACTGAAAATTCCAATTGGGGATTGTCACATGGGTGTTAGGAAGTATTAATGAGGCATGTCCTGATCAGGTTTCCCAAGTACAAGTGTGGGACAGAATACAGAGAGCTGACACTGTGCTCTCAGTTGGGCAGTTGGGTGCGATTGGTCCCAGTTTTCTCCTCTGCCTTTATGAAACTAGGAAATTCACTTCTGAAAACAGAAGTAATAGTGTAGTTAGACAAACTTGTCACTGTGGCTCTTTAGCTGATAAATGTGAGCTGCTGCCTCAGATGGCCTCCTGAGGTTAGGAGGTTAAGAAATGTAATTGAGACAAATCCCATATGAAAACATTGTTCTTTCAGCTGGACTCTAACACTGCACAGGGATTTTTAAATGCATCTCTCACTGATTCATACCACTAACTTCAAAGTGTCATCTCCTCGGGGTAATGGAGTTAACTTCTTATAAAATGTAATAGAGTAGCATTTGTATTAATAGCAGAGACTAGACTTAAGGTTTTCATGGAAACCTTACCTGTAAACATCCTTACTTCTGTGTAATTAACATATCATCCATAAAGTTTCATTAACATGACATACATGTCATTCCCGTCCAGTGCTTGGGAATTAGTGTAATCCAGATGTTGCATCTCAGTTTTCCTCTGTAAAATGAGTACAAAAACACTTAACATTTCTGATCAGCAGAGCACAGTAAGGTTGGCCACTCAACTTGCTGGCATGTCTCTGCTTGTCACTGTGTAATGTAATAACTTCTGAATGCTGCATCTGATCAATTCCAAGGTGTTAGGGAATAGCCTATGCATCAGTGGAGAGAAACCTATTGATTTTGGTGAAAATTGAAAAAGCTGCAGGGGAAAATGGATACACACAGAATCTGTGGACTCTGGCAGCAGCCACCACTTTACAGCATAACAGGGGCTGTCTACATGTGCATTAAATTTCGTACCTGTAGTAACAGGTACTAACTTTAATGTGCAGTAATCAGCGCTACTGCACAGTAGCGTCAGTGTATGTTTTTTAAGTAACACTAATGCACAGTAGATATTCTACTGCACATTAGCATGGCTTTCAGTGTGACATGCTAATGCACAGTAGAATTAGTCTACCGCGCTTTTAGCATCTTGTGTAGACATGCCCGCAGTTCCCCCCACCTCACCTCCTTCCACTTTAAAGCCTTGCCGTTTTGACTGACTTATATCTAAGATACAAAAGAAATGAGAATGGGAGTGTGCACAGAGCTGCTGGCATGTAGCAAAAGGTGAAATGGTTAGGGCACATGGAAAAGGAATTAAGTGGTCATGGCAGGCACAAAGAGCCCTGGCAAGGAACGGGCTGTGAGGCAAACAATCTCTGCCCCTCTGCAAGGAAGTACAATCGGGGACTCTGGTTAGAGGGTGAAGGATGGGCAGTGTGTTCCAAGTAACCTGGACAAGGCTTTGGAGCCAGGAACTCTTGAGAAATAATCTGAGACGTGAGATAAGCTAGCTGACACCTCTCTTTCTGCTTCCCCCTAAAAATGGGTATGAACATATTTGACCATCAGGACCCCTACTGTAGTAGAGAAGGAAATTTAGGGAGTATGAAGGAGCCCACAGGACACCTAGCAAGGGGAAGAATATGGGACCCTGCTATGGGTGAAAGCAAGGAATGGGGAATTTCCTGGAACACCTAATATAGTGGTGGGGTAAGGGCAGGATGGATGGTGCTAAGGGAAACACACAGAGCCCCTGGAATGTGGCAGAGAGGGGAATGTGGCATACTGAGCCTCTGACATGAGGGGAGAAATGGAGGAATGATAGGCTGTCTCTGGAACAGAGAGGGGAGATGGGTTGATGGCAGATAGAGAGCTATATAAAGAATGAGAAGTTCCAGGAACTCCCAGTGCACAGGGCTTCCAGAAATAACAATGTGCCACCCCTCCACCCCCCAGGATAATTAATAATTATCAGTATTATTAGTGTGATCACTCCCTCTATGCTAGGGATTTTCTTTTCTTATGCAGTGGCCTCAATCCTCCCTACTTTAATATGATTACTAATTTTTATTATCACTGGCTCCTAAGGGTGTTGGACTTAATAAATAAGGGTGTGATTATCCCCTGGCTCTGACAGAAGAGCATGTGGGGTTGGATGAGAGTCTACCATAGGTGAAAGGAATCTGCCAATGCGGGTGCCTAGTCTCATTTGCAGTGGTTGTACTCTGTAACCGAGAGGGACAGCCTCTAGATCTGTCCCCATGTAAGATTGTCTAGTGATTTGGACAGTGATCTCAGCCTGGGGACATACAGGTTCACATCCATGTTCAACTACAGATGACCCTTGTAGCAAAGCATTTATTTTCTTCATGCCTCAGTCTACCAACTGTAAAATGGCAACAATAATGTTTCCCCAACTCAGAAGGAGGCTGGGAGAAAGAATGTGTTAGGGTTGCAAAATGTTCAGACCTTACAGCTATGAGCACTTCAGATAAATCCAGAGGGGTGTGCAGGAGTACACACTGCTTCCTCTTCAAAGGGAGTACTGGTAGCTGTGTAGCTGGGGGGCTTCTGGAGGGAGCATGCCTGCCAGAAGCATGATGCCCCTTGGTGCAGAGGTATGAGAGCTCCATCTCTTGCTCTGGGCCCTGTTACAATGCAGCAACTAAGTTCTTAATATCTGTATGGTTGTATGATGCTTTAAAAATGTTATTAGTCCTTACAATATAAAGTATTCTAGGATGATTAATTTTGCATTCACTTTAAAAATTCTCTTTCAGTCTTTGCAATATGTTTAGTATCAGTTAATATTTCCATAAGACTTTCAGTGTTCAGCATTATTGGACAATATCTGCATTGTCTGTTTTATTTTATTTCTCAACCATGCTGCATTCTTATATTTAACAAAAAGCAGATGAAGCAGAAAGATGAAGGCAACATTCAATCAGTTGATTTTCTTTGCAATACAGGAAATGTGCATAGTTGAAGAACCTTTGGAGGAGTTTACTTCAAGACATAGTCTAGAATGGAAATTTTTGTTTCTGGATCACAGGTTTGTAAGAAATAAAACATGCTTGATCTTGTTTTGTACCTATTTACTCATATATTCATGAGTCAGATTCTGTCAAATAGTATTATACTTCACATTGAAATAGTTTGAAGAAAAAGATTATTAGCACTGTTACCACTAAAGTACTTACAAAGGCTGATGTTTAATTTCAATTTGACTTTACTTGACTGGAACTAGATAGTTTTCTCTGCATCTTCTTTTTTCATGAATTATTTTACACAAATGCTGTTTATACTTTCCACAGAGTATTTTTGATCAGTCAGCTTTTATCTATTTTAAACACAAGAATGGAGTGTAATCTGTAATCATAAAAATATTCTTAAACAGTATGTCATTAGTCACTCCAGGAAACAAAAATCTGAGGTAGAAAAATGGTATAAAGAGCCAGAAAGATTAATTTCTTGCTATGTGACCTATGCATGTCTTAGAAAAATATGCCATGAAAACAGGTCTTACAAAAATCAGCCAGTTCAGCCATTGGGTCTGCATGCAATACCTACTGACTCAAGTATTGAGGATTATGTAGGGAAGCTGTGATGGACTGAACAATCTGGAAGCAGTCAGACAGGCAGATACCCAGACTGCTCAGACACTTCATCGTCAGATTCTGCAGAGGCCTAGAAAGGAAGGAAACTTTATGCAAATACATTTGTCCCATCTCACTGAGTAATAGCCACTCCCTTACCCATGTAAGAGCTGTAGAAGCTGCTGTTGCCCAGACAAAAGTAGCTGAAATGAAGCCCACTGCACAGGGGGTAAACAGAAAAAGCAACCACCTCAAAACAAGTTGGGTGTTCTGTGAAGACTCAGTATTAGGTAAAGCAGTTCTGCAGTCAGTCTGCAGGCTGGATCCAGCATGGAGTCAGTGTGCAGGGTTGGTCTGCAGGTGTGGCCTGGCCCCACACACCAGATCCGGCCATAGTCCAACCATGCACTGGCATCATCTGGCATGTGAGGCCATGTCATCTGGCCCGTAAAACTCCCCATGGGGCTGGAAATGTGATGATGGGAAAGTGGTGGCAGCATTAATTGCTGCAGCTCTGGAAGCCATAACAATTTTTAGACCACCAAATTTATAGACCCACGAGGCAACTGGATGATGTAGCCTCATAGGCAGATTTGGCCCATGGGCTGGAGGTTGAGCACCACTGGTCTACATGGTCCCTGTCTGGCTGCCAGCTTTGTTTCAGAGCTACTAGCCAACTCTGGCACTAAGTGGGAAGGGAGGTAGCTGGCCCTGATTGTCTCCTGAGTTGTAATTCAGCTCAAAGAGTCCCTCCCTCTCTCCATCAGGGATATCCTCTGATGACAGTCCTGCCGGGGGAACATGATGGAAAGTGAAGTCACGTTTTCCATCCTAAGGAGGAGGAATTGCTTCCAAGTAGTTCAGCAGTATTTCCCTAGTCGGTTCTTATCTTCTCTGGATGCTTGTGTGTCATTGTGTGGGTGTGGAAGACAGCCGGAGAACTGAGCTAAAGTTAGGCTGTGTGCCCACAGAACAGGAGAGTCAAACTTTGCCCTTGGACCTTAATGGGACCTTGGCATGTGTGAAGGAGAGCTGAGTTCAGCCCTGCTGTCTATTTGAACTTCCAGTTTAACAAGCAAGCCTTGCTGTTTGTTCCATTTTTCTCTATTAAATAATTTGTATTGTGCCCATATGCAGAGCACCGCCGATTATAGGATATTTGCCTTTTGAAGTGCTGGGTACTTCTGGCTATGACTATTATCATATAGATGACCTAGAGCTCTTAGCAAGATGCCATGAACACTGTAAGTACTGCACAGTCTCAGTTCATTTGAATTAAATGGAATGTCTGTTCTCAGCAAAATGCAGCTCCAACTAAGGCCTTTTTTACACACTGAGAAGTTTCTGCAGATAACAGCTGCCACAGGAAAGCCAGCAGAGTGGACACACACGCACAGCTTCTGGAGGCTACAGTCAGCTCTATTTCTTCAGCTGTACTTACAGGGCACCATGTGCACCATTAGAAGCCTCAGTTGCAAAAAGAGGCTGCACAGCCAACAGAAAGCTTGGATGTGTCTACACATGCCTTCTGCCAGCTGCTGAGCAGGAGCAATAGAAGTCTTCTTTCATTCAGAGAGATGATGCTACTCCACTGAGAGAAAGAAGAGGCTCTGCCAGCATTGGGGAGCTCTAAGTGTGGGCATACACGTAATTTTGCTAGTGGAACTCACATTGTGTATACCAGGCCTAAGATAGGTATAAACTTGGGAGAACAGAGCCTGCAGGCAAAAGGCAGATTCCTCTTGTCTAAAACTATAAATTGGCCTTTGTGAAATTATTTTGAATCGAGTGGAGTAGAACTGATGAGAATTTGGCCCCAAGTTGTTTATAGTTTAAAAGGCCAAATCCTTCTTCCCATACTCTTACAAATAGTTGATGGAACTCATTGTCTAATTAAGATATGTAAGATTTAACCCACATTCTGTTAGTAAATAATTGACTGGAATTAACTCAAACAGACTTGGGGAAGGTCAGACTTTGTAAAATTCTTGCAGATTCTTTTTTCTCTGTAGTACTGTTCAATGTGTATGTAAACCAGTGATTACTTAAACATTACAATTTTTTTAAATGCCCGTCATTAAGTGAAGAAATATTAAAATGAGGCAACCTTTTTAAAATATCCACTTACAGAACTGATCTGTCATGTTTCAGTATTACCATATTTTCTCAAATACAAGATGAGGTTTTTCCCCCCAATGAACATGGGGGGACAAGCCCCTTGTCTTATAGTTGCATACAAGAGACCTCACTAAGTACATTATCAATCGTTAAACTGGTGCCAAAAGCAGCATGTGCTCAGTAATGCAAACCAACTATGAAGCTGATTAAATGCAGCCAACATTGAGCATGACTATAAAACATTCTAATATTATAAAAGCCTAAGTCTGTCTGTCCGTAATGCTTTATTCATGCTCTGATTGGCTGACAAACAGGCAATCAGAGTGCGAGCAAGCATTCGAACAGGAGCTGGCAGCATGGTGGAGCACCGCCATGATTGCGGAGACACAGGGGTTGGGGGGGGCAATGGAGCAGAGGCGTGGGCAACAGAGCCAATGGAACGGGGGGGTGAGGCCAGCAGCTGGCCTCACCCCCCCACCCTACTCCCTGCAGGTGGCAACGATGGAGCGGTGGGGGGCAAGGCCATTGGAGCTGGCTTCACCCTGCCCC